GAGATGGATTGACATGGAAAAAAGATGGGAGTTCAATAAAAGTAAATTAATGTATGATGTTATGAATAATAGTGCCCCATCATATTTATATGATATGTTCACCCTGTCCGCCCATACTCATAGATACTCAACAAGGAATGCTGACAATTTGGGCGTCATTATTCCAAGAATTAAAACAGAATGTGGAAAACGTGCCTTCTCAGTTGATGGTGCTCTTCAGTGGAATAGCCTACCCCACTCAGTTCGAAATGCCCCGACCAAGAATAATTTTTGTTCTCTCTATTTTAAGCAGCGATCTTAAAGATAAATTTGCCTTTCTTTCTTTATTTATTTCTTTCATGAATATTTACATAAATTTCTCAATATAATAATTTGTTAAAATCTAAATAGATCATTGATAATAATCAGAGTATATTGTTATCGATTTGAAATTGCTCATTGAAATTTATCATTCTTACTACGGCTTTGTTTCATTATTCACTCTTACTCTTTACTCACTTTCTGTTATATGTTGCTATGTATTGATGTTTTCCATGATGTTTATATTGTTCAAGTAGTTTGTTTCTTCATATATGTTCATTTATGTACAGGGCCCCCTGGAAAACAGTACTTTGATTACTGACGGGGCTACCCTGTTAAAATAAAACGGAATAAATAAATAAATAAATAAATAAATTGATAGAATGAGCCTTGTCCATAGACTCAAAGGGGGTGACAAGTCATTTGCACATCTAGCAGATGCTGCACTGACGCAAGCTCTGCACGAAGGCACTGATAGTGCCAGGACTGATGTCATGTTCGATGTCTACAGGGATGAGTCCATCAAGAATGCTGAGAGAGGGAGAAGCTTCATGATAAGTCACTTTATGTGGCAAGTGGAGAAGCACTATGAAGAAATCATAACTCTGAAGACAACACATAACTCTGAAGACAACACAAGAGGAAGCTGACACACATGCTTCTTCATGCATGGCATGCTGCGGAGGATGGATACATATCCATAGTAACCACAGCCGAAGACACAGATGTGTTGGTAATCTGTGTCTGTATTATCGTGCTGTCCCATGGTGTTACATTTTTCCACTGTGCCCTCATCATTTCCATTCCGTCTGCATACTGGTCCCTTACCACTTACAGCATGCTCGTACCAGCTAGTGTCACCGTGTTGGCCTTTCCGGCGCCGGGTCTCACCAGAGCCCCACCGGCTGGGTACCTGCTGCTTACCACCGGGAACGCAACCATAAAAGAGCCATTCGCTGAACATTCGCTTGGCCTTGAAGACGTCAAACACGGTATATAAAAGCTGGGCACTCGCCCTAGCTACCAGTCACACTTCAGTTCTCAAGTTCATGGATGTACGTCCTCATTGTTCTTCTCAACAATTAATCATAAATCTTCATAATTCTTCATAATGCCTACACATGGAAGCAGGGCGGCAGAGCGACTAACAAATTAGAAGGGGGGGGGGGGCAACAAAAAGGGCACCTACAAAGGGGCACTTTAATAAAGTAATAGGTGCACTTGTCAAAGTAAAAGGGGCAATTTTCCTACAGTATGTACAAAGGGGCACTTCTGGGGTACTTCGAAACTGGGGAGGGGGCTGTGCACACCAGACTGGTATACAGTAACAGCCCGTTGAACAAATTATGACACATCGTCACGTCACCGTTCTCACTGCCCCACGAACGGGTCCATGATGGCCTCGTACCAGCCCCCGTCCTTATACCGTCCTCTTATAGTCCTCATACCGGGTTCTCACTGTGTGCCTCCGCTTGTGCCCACACTGCGAAAGTTTTGGGCATGCCCACAACTTTTGCCGGGTCTCGGCTGGTCTCTTTGGCCACTAACAGGCCCTTACCGTGCATGTTCACCGATCACTCAACGCCCCGTCGTGTGCCCTCATCGTTTTCCACCGACCACACAAAATTTACCACACGGTGGCACACGGTAGGCTTAGCCGGCGCGATGGGACAGTAATTTAGCAAGAAGCTGACCTGCTTTCTGAGAAGTCTGGCTGGACAAAGAACCGCATCGGGTACATTTATGTTTGCAAACTGCAAGCTTTTTGGGTGAAGATGTCTGCCAAGCTCTAACGTCCGCCTTTACTGGCTGCAACATAGTGCGTTTGCAGGACGTGGAAGCTGGTTGCACTTAAGTTCCTGACTTTAAGCATCTTGGTGAAGAATGGGATGTTTCAACAACCCTAATAGACAAGATACAAGTGTTTGTGTGTCGAAATGTATGCATGCACATCCACAATCTGATGAGACCGGATCAATGAACTCTGCTACCACCTCTTCTTTGCAAAAGAGGTAGAATCCAGCCAGCTACCTCCAAGCAAAGACTCTTTGCACATGCATGTTCTTCGGGTGAACTACATGTACCAGGCTGCAATATGGCGACGCTGCCTTGTGAGTTAACCTGTAGTCAAAGATCCAACGACCTGTGGGTGGAACACAGATGGCAACGGCAATCTGTCAATAGAATAGGTAGCACAGCACCGGAATTTGTGTTGCAATTGATGTCCTGCAAGTGTACTGTGCCCGTGCCTGCAAACTTCCTGCCTCGTGAACCAACTGAAATGCACTAACATGTGCAAATTAAAGACCTTCACAAACCAGCAGGAAGATGATGAAGATAAAAAAAGTGGCAAAAGTCAAGGTAGACGATTCAGACACAGACTCATGATAAATTAAAATGAGATGAACATATTTTGTTCCAAGAGAAATGTACCTGTAGGAAACAACTTTGGTGTTCCCTTATTAACGTGTTGACTGCAGGAGTAACTTTGAGAAAGTTTGCAGAAGTGAGGATGAAAATACATGTAGTAGATGTTGCTTTCTTCTCTCTTGTCAATTCAGGATGAAAACAAAGAGAGGTGTTGCAGACAAAAGAAGAGTCGGTGACCTGTGATTGTGTGTGATCTATTTACCACAAGTCACCAGTATCTAATTGACAAATAAGCTGCCATTATCAAAGTCATGGTGACAACTTACGGTAGGCTTTCAATTCCAGATCACATGGAAAAGACACTTGTAGGTTAAACTCTAAGACGTACTAGATACAGTGTATATTTTATCAGTTACATCATTTCGAACAATCAATGTAAAATTTCAAAGGCATATACATGTTTTTTCTGGCGTTGAGAATGTGAATTAATTTGTGTCCAAAAAGACTACTTAAATTCAATCACACCTTTCTTTCATAGAGAGTAAACAAAAAATAGGAAAGAGAGGGTGTGACAAAATAGTTTCTGAGACTTCGTGCAAACCGCCTGTACTATTTCTGCCCAAAGAAGGCGTTTTGATAAACAGACACACATTTTCTGGCATTCATATTTACCTTTGACTCATTTATTCTCATTTCGCTTGTAGTATTCTTCGGGACAGTTTTGATACAATAGCAAGTAAATGGTCATTAATGTGATGAATCTGTGCTGGTTCCAGCATTGCATACAATCAAATGAAGTTTTCTAGCATCTAATGTAGTCATCACAATGTTCTAAACCCTAAGAAACAGCTTGTAATATGCAGGGGCAGAATACTTTTATGGTCATTTTGCTCTGATTTTATGCAAATGTATGATGTCCTATGTAATGTCCAAAATAAAGCTTTAGCTGTGTTCCCTGTGCCTGAAAACCTGGGTATAGACACCAAAATGAACTTTCAACACCACTCCAATCCCAAGATATAGCCAAAATATGGCATATAGTACCGTACAGGGCATCTTGTAAACTCTAATTCATGTTGCCATGGTAATAATGGGAATGTACTATATATCATATTCTTGGCTTATATGATAGATTAGTCATATAGTTTTTTCAATAATTTGGAAAGGGGACTTTAACTTGTCTTGAATGAGCAAATCGTCTAATATGTTACTGAAAATATGCCAATGTCCTTGATTTTAGGCTATTCTGGGGTCGTTGCTATGGCAACCGTTATTAATGGTAATATAATTTGCATTTCATTACTTTTCTTCATGGTGAGGTATTCTTAACTTTTATTCTGTGGGCCTGAAAACCTGGGTATAGACACCAAAATGAACTTTCAACACCTCTCCAATCCCAAGATATAGCCAAAATATGGCATATACAATGTAGTACCGTACAGGGCATCTTGTAAACTCTAATTCATGTTGCCATGGTAATAATGGGACTGTACTATATAACATATTCTTGGCTTATATGACAGATAAGTCAAATAGTTGTGTCATTATTTTGGAAAGGGGACTTTAACTTGTCTTGAATGAGTATATTGTGTAATATATTACTGAAATTACTCCAAAATCCTTGATTTTAGGCTATTCTGGGGTTGTTACCATGGCAATCATTATAAATGGTGTTGTAATTTGCATTTCATTGCTTTCCTTTATGGTGAGGTATTCTAAACTGTACATTTTTACGCATTCAAAAGTGTTTTCATAATTTTTAAATGACTCTAACTGTTCCTTTGAATAATACCGGTTTTAGTGTAGTGTTGCCATGGAAACTGCTGATTATATGACTAAGCTGCCAGTCTGGAAATGCTATCATATCAAAATTTTATGTATAGATATAGGGCATTTCAAAATGCATAAGTAGATCTTGCCACCTTGAGTGGTACCAATAACCCAAATTTCTGGTCTTGGCCCATGGACTATTAGGCTTCAGTCTCCCTATGGCAATTATAATTAGCAGGTTTATTCGGAAAACATGGATTATTCCAACATAAGCAATGCATTTGTGTTGGAAGCAGAAAACTTCTTTTTTTTTTTTAATTACACAGAGTACCAATGAAACAAGGTCAAAGATATATCTACAGCACAAACACAAAAATGGGCAAGTTTAAACCAAAAATGTTGTGCAACATCTTATCAAACCATTGTTAAGGTTATTTTGTTGTCTGTATATCAATAAGATTTGTTCATCAAAGAGGTCTGTTGCTTTTGTGCCTGTTACATCATGTAAAGGCACAGAGTTTTCATCAAATTGATAAACTGTACTACCCTCAGACTGTTACCTGAAGCATCTTTGTCTTGTTCAAGAGGACCAGTAGCTACTGCTATAGGGTCAGAGTCAGTAGCAGGCTTGGGGATTTTCTTCCAGCTACACATGTTGATGTACAACACAGACTTTGTTGGTTTCTAAATAAAGGTAAGAACAGAGAGGAAACAAGGAACCTAATAAAGTAGAAATATTCAACCACTGGCACTTAAGAATTATGCCTCCACTTCTGATGAAATATCCCTCAAACTGTTTCTCATCTGACTGACTGCTTGATCAGGTGAACCCAAATCCACTTGTTATTCTTTGTTACTTATCCGGTTAGATGAACAGTAGTGGATCAATTTTGAATTTTTTTTTTTACTTAAGATGGCCTTGAACCTTTGACCTATAATCAAAGCCATAGCAAGATATTATGTGTACGGTACATTACATTCACCTAAAAATTAATTAAATTACAATAATTAGTGATATAGTTGAGACCCCTTTGAAAAACAGCTTATAGCTGACAAGGGCAATCCATCCCATGAGTGGAGAATAAATAAATAAAAATAAAATAAAGAATTAAAGAATCAATCAGATAAGTTTCCCTATATTTTATCATTAATAAAGGTCTGTGTTAACTCAAAATTTCAGATTATCTTTCATTGTACATCTAGCATTGAAGTCACTACCTTAGCACCATTTTCTCCTATCTGAACAATGTGACCAAGTCCCTTTAAAGCTATAGGAAGTTATTGCATGAACAGCACAATTGTTGATGACGACAACAACTACGATTAAGGGGAAAAGTGATGTATGTCTTGCTCCGATAGTCAGGTGAGACAAATATGCCATAAATCGTTAAGACATCAACTCAATAAATCACATTCTATTCTATGTGTAGGCAATAGATACAAATTGTTAAGTACTCAAGGTACTTAATATTATATCAGTGTAACATAAAAAAGAGTTGTGGTTTAAAAAAACTTAAAGGTATTACAAAGTTTTGGGAAATTTTGAAAAATGGGTGGATAGTGAATCTTTACAATTTTGATATATTTGGATGCCCCTATACATGTATTAAAAGCACTAGAAACTTTAGCCCCTAAACTTTTGCTTTCGAGAAAAATTGAATATAAAGATTTATCGGTGCTCCTGGTAAATTTTATTAATTTCAAATAGCTCCTACAGCCGTACAATGGTAGCTGCGACCATGAAAATTTCAGAATATGTAGTTGTGGTATATAATTTCCGAACGGGAATAGCTAATCGGTCGATGTTAGTCAAGAAACATTGTTTTATAGCGTAATTAATATCTTGACCTTGAGAGGGAGCTATACAACATAACTTTAGAGTCGATTTCGACCGCGACAACAATCAATGAATATTGTAGGATCGCCTATGCTTCCAATATGTTCATTTGAACCAAATTCACGACCCCATACCAAAACTTTTACCATTACCTTTAATGTAACAATATTTTGCATTAAAAATTGTTTTCTGTACTGTTTGATACAGAAATCTAGACAAATACATATTTATTGAAATTTCAAAATGTTGCAAAATACACTTCTGTTTTTACACGTGTTTATAAATAGGGATGAATACGTACAATTATTGATGTCTTGATGCAGGCGAAGGGCTTGGGTAGCTCCATGTTTTGTTTGCCTTCCTCCATCGTTTTCTTGATGAATCTCTGATATGCTGCTGGATCTGAACTAGCCATTTCGTCCAGCATAGCCCACACATGAGAGGCTTGCTTTGAAGCATCACTCCCCTGGCCTAGTCCCCCATCCATTCTAAACACACACTATGTGTAATGTGTCGTCGAGAACCTGCAAATTAAAGAGAAGGTTTATGGGGATGAATACGAAGCCAAATTAAAGAGAAGGTTTATGGGGATGAATACGATGCCAAATTAAAGAGAAGGTTTATGGGGATGAATTTGATGCCAAACTTTCTATGTAGTATGGGTTCTGCTTTGTTTGCCTTAATCAGGGTAAATAAATGAGCAGTTTTTAACAATTCCTATTTACAACATAATGTTCAGGAGACACAACTTCTCTCTCTCTCTATTTTAAGACCTCATCTCTCATACCAAAATGCAACCCCCCTTTTTTTCATCAACAGCCTATGTTACTATTACAGTACTTGCACGCCTGGTGCATTCAATTGTCAAGCCTTATTGGCTTATACGGATAAACCATTTTCCATTTATACTACGGTTTATCATATTTTGAATGTCAATTTGTCAATTTATATAATCTTGATATTGTTATCTGTTATGATATTCCTTGTTTTATCTTTATAAGTCATGATGATGGAAATAAATGTCAAGTCAACTCGTCAGTTTTAACTGTTGTGCTTTACACCCTTGATAAGAGTCATTGGCTAGTATTTGGAAAAAATCTCTTCCAAAGTGAGTAGACAATATTTGTCTGCACAAAACAAGTCTTGTCAAACAAAGTTTAGATGGTATATTGACTCCCTATCACCCATTGCATCATGGAATTGGGGAATCCCCTGCAGGCGGGGCTTGGTCGGATTCCTGGAGACATTACTATCATGTGGCATACCAAGTATCAACACTTGATTAGTGAAGTTACACCTAATTATTTTGTGTAGGGCCCTCTATAATTCATGCTTGGGTGAGCACTGCTCACTTTTGTAAAGGGTATGAAAATTAGGTTGCGCAGGAATTAGCCTTCCAATTTGTGAAAGGTAAATCCTTTGGAGCTTATGAATATTGAGGATGATATGACCAATTTATGAGCAATTGTGATGAGTTTTGGTTTTTGCTGAGTGAAATTTGTGGTTTATGGGATTAACATTTCATGCATGAGTGAACAGGAATGTAAACAAAGGTGAAACCGCCGTTTTTCCTGCTGTCGCTTTCATACTGTCGGTGAAATTCACTCGCTGTGGCGACCCCTTGCCGGAAGTGAAGAATTATTACGTAATTATTAAGCCCGCGCCCCATCTAGCTGGCATGCAGCATGTTCAACAAAAAGTCAACAAACACAGCTGGTTACGATAAAGCGCGCGTACACTGCGACATTAGACCATTTTAATCAGTGTTTTAATCGCTGTTTTCTCCCGAACGCATTCACAGTGGCTGTTTCATCTGTGTCACACCGATATAATGAGAATTTCTCCTGCTCTAGAGCAGGATAATTTAATAACCTATATCTCTTCTTTTCATCAGCTATTTAATCGGCTTTTTCTCCTCAGTAGCATTCATACTGGCCGTTTCATCAGATGCGTCCAGATGCATCTGATGAAAATCAGGCCAGTTTGAAAGGGGTATAAGTGGTGTGTTCAAGAGAGTCAGGACGGGGTGATGGTACATGTTGTAATTTCCATGTTACAAACTGTTATTTTTTTTTACATCTGTGACTTTGAATAAAAACCTCCACCCCACATTTCAATTATTGTAAGATTAGTTGAACATCTCATTGATTTACTTAATACCCAGGTAGGGATTATGTAAATTGAATATTGAACTTCAAATACGGTTTGTTGAAAAAAGGAATGTCAAAGATTTCGGCTACTTATCCTTCTGTAAATGGTAACTGAAATGTGGGGTGCAGGTTTTCAAATTAGTCACAGATGTAAAAAAATAACAGTTTGTAACATGGAAATTACAACATGTACTATCGCCCCATCCTGACTCCCATGAACACACCACTGAGTCTACCAGGGAAAGTTACAATGCTACAATAAACTAGATGGAACTTCGACTGCGTGCAGCTGAAAATGATGCCTCCGCCATAGAGCAATTTTACAAACCAAAACAGAAACAATTTTTAAAATTCAAGTTTGATTGTAATCCATCTGTCGGTTTTAATGATGCATGCACAAGTTATTTATAGGCATACATAATGAGTCACATGACCTTTGACCTGATGACCCTAAAACCAAATCAGTTGATTGGCTCTGCAAGATACATATACCGGTACATGTCTTGAGTTTGATAGTATTCTGTCTATTGGTTCTCATGATAATACGATCACAAGCTGTATGGTCTTTCACCATTTGTTGATGATCTTGCAGATTTTGTGGTAGCAGACGAACATAACGCGCACACACCACCGACTAAGAAAGTCCTAGAGGGCGCAGAGGTTTGCTCACTAAAATCCTTCTCATTGGTTAAGGTAGAGCCTAAAAATACGGAATCAGTTTTGGTCAAAGAACTTTTGATAGAGATTAACGCCAATACGAACGTGTAGCTCGCGCACAGTTTTTCCTTCATAATCTTTTTGCCTTCGGCGTAGACTAGAAGGGATGAGATTTAGATGACGTCATGCACAGCGAGAGTAAAAATACGTCTTGCAAGATTTTCAACATGGATGTTGATTTTCACCCATAATTTCTTAAAAAGGAACCATTAAACGGATTATTTCAGTCAAGTTGGTAAGTGGAACCGATGTATTATAGCCTAGGCCTAATTTACAATATCAGTAGGGGCGCTGGTCCGAGAATAAGGATCGTCTTCATAAACGAGGATCGTCTTCGTAAACACGGACTGATGCGTCCTCAAGAATAAGGACCGTCTGCATTTTTGCAGATGTTTCATATTTTAGATCGGCGCATTGGCGATGCGAAAAACGGATTCTGCAATGAATTTCTTGATGCATTTTACATTGACATTGTACAGAGACCTTCACATTATAAGCAATAAATCCTTGGAAAGACGGACAACCCATAAAAGTAGATGGTGAACTAGTGTTATTTTCCCCCGGGGAATCCAGTTTTGGCATTGCCAGCAACTCTGCAATATTCATAGCATTTTGGTCAGAATGGACAAAAAAGTGGTTCACGCAAAGCTTTCATTTTTTGCTCAACAGCTGCATTCTAATGCATTAGGCTATATATGCAAAAAGTGGGGGAAGGGTATTTTCAAACTTATATCCTACGTGATCCCTTGGGGCTAGCAAAAAAAGAAGAACATCAACGTATTCCTTACGACTTAAACTAATTATCCCTCGGGGGGGGGGGGGGGGGGGGTCGATTCTCAAAAGTTGGAAATCTCCCGAGTTGCCATGGAAACGCATTTAAATTGCTGTTTTGACCAATATTTTTTTAGAAATTTGAAATGAACCCCCTTTGGAAATATGGGAATTAATCTGCCCTTTCAAATGACACCTCATTTATTGAGTATCACCTTCAGGATCACAACAGATTAAGGTTTGAATCTAAATTTATTTTTAAAAACTTGATCTATTTTGCAATGCACATAGACTCTATAGGGATGTGTGCAATGTCAATGGGAAGGGCTTTAGCACACAAAACGTAGTGCGCGATCAGACACCCCTTAGGATGAATGATGAGGCATCAAATAAAAAGGTCTTATCAAGCTCTGTTTGATGGTATAAAGCAAGAGCTTGAATTCTGGGATTATTTTTTTTGGTCACATACCCAACTACGATAAGGAAGGAAATTATATTGAACTGGAAGCCCGACTGCTGAGAACGCAGCATTCTTCCAGAATCTCGCTCGGGTAAAGGTAAAGCCGGTATACGAGTCTAGGCCTACATGTAAATAAATAGGTGGGACAATAATGAATGCTCATTCAACCTTCTCACTCAGTTCCTTTTTCTCTCTCTCTGAGTTTACTCAATAGTCACATTTGAAAGAAATATAAGATCTACGAAACACTAGATAAAATGCAATTTAATAATATCTAAATTATATTGTTTACCCTTTGACTGAAGCTTCTTTATCAATAAAATTCGGGTAGGTATACAGCACAATCTCGTACCTCCGCTCCTTCGGAATTCGACTTTTTTCTTCAGTCATTAACTGGTAGGCAATCTTTTGGAACCTGTAGAGGTTTGCGCACGTCACTACGTAAAGGAAATGTTGACGCCCCCTAATGAATATGCATTATGCTTGTGCCGACACGGCGTGTGTACTGTCCGTACACGCTGTGCATGCATAGACTATGGCTATGTTGACAGCACATCTGCACTACCGATTCAAGCAAGAGAATATATATATTTCACTACACTTGTATTGTTTTGAATACATTAATTGCATCTATACTTGCATCAATTAAGTTAGTGCATTTCTAAATTTGTATTGTACTGTTGTGACTTCATACTTGCATCAATATAAGTTATTGCATCTAACCTGTTCGAAACTGCATTTTGCGTGTCCCAAATTTATATCTTTGTCATGGGTGCATTGTTTGCATCAATCAAGTTATTGCATTGTACATGTTCCAAGCTGCATTCTACGTGTACCAAAATTTCTATCTTTTGGTAATTGTGTTGTTTTGACTACAGACTCCCATTATTTAAGTTATTGCATTGTATATGTTCCAAGCTGCATTCTACGTGTACCAAAATGTCTATCTTTGGGTAATTCTGTTGTTTTGCCTACACACTCCAATCATTTAAATTATTACATTGTTCATGTTCCAAGCTGCATTCTACGTATTCCAAAATGTTGAGTCATTGTATTGTTTTGCCTACACACTCCCATTATTCAAATTATTGCATTGTACATGTTCCAAGCTGCATTCTACGTGTTCCAAAATGTGTATCTTTAGGGGATAATATTGGTTAGCCTACACACTCCCATCATCCAAATTATTGCAATGTACATGTTCCAAGCTGCATTCTACGTGTTCCAAAATTTCTATCTTTGGGTAATTGTATTGTTTTGACTACACACTTGCCTCAATCAAATTATTGCATTGTATATGTTCCAAGCTGCATTCTACGTATTCCAAAATTTCTATCTTTGGGTAATTATATTGTTTTGCCTACACACTCCCATCATTCAAATTATTGCAATGTACATGTTCCAAGCTGCATTCTACGTGTTCCAAAATGTATATCTTTATTGTTTTGCCTACACACTCCCATCATCCAAATTATTGCATTGTACATGTTCCAAGCTGCATTCTACGTATTCCAAAATGTTGAGTAATTGTATTGTTTTGCCTACACACTCCAATCATTTAAATTATTACATTGTTCATGTTCCAAGCTGCATTCTACGTATTCCAAAATGTTGAGTAATTGTATTGTTTTGCCTACACACTCCCATTATTCAAATTATTGCATTGTACATGTTCCAAGCTGCATTCTACGTGTTCCAAAATGTGTATCTTTAGGGGATAATATTGTTTAGCCTACACACTCCCATCATCCAAATTATTGCATTGTACATGTTCCAAGCTGCATTCTACGTGTTCCAAAATTTCTATCTTTGGGTAATTGTATTGTTTTGACTACACACTTGCCTCAATCAAATTATTGCATTGTATATGTTCCAAGCTGCATTCTACGTATTCCAAAATTTCTATTTTTGGGTAATTGTATTGTTTTGCCTACACACTCCCATCATTCAAATTATTGCATTGTACATGTTCCAAGCTGCATTCTACGTGTTCCAAAATTTCTATCTTTGGGTAATTGTATTGTTTTGACTACACACTTGCCTCAATCAAATTATTGCATTGTATATGTTCCCAGCTGCATTCTACGTATTCCAAAATTTCTATCTTTGGGTAATTATATTGTTTTGCCTACACACTCCCATCATTCAAATTATTGCACTGTACATGTTCCAAGCTGCATTCTACGCGTTCCAAAATGTCTATTTTTACGGGATAATATTGTTTTGCCTACACACTCCCATCAATCAAATTATTGCATTGTACATGTTCCAAGCTGCATTCTACGTGTTCCAAAATTTCTATCTTTGGGTAATTGTATTGTTTTGCTTACACACTCCATCATTAAAATTATTGCATTGTATATGTTCCAAGCTGCATTCTACGTATTCCAAAATTTCTATTTTTGGGTAATTGTATTGTTTTGCCTACACACTCCCATCATTCAAATTATTGCATTGTACATGTTCCAAGCTGCATTCTACGTGTTCCAAAATTTCTATCTTTGGGTAATTGTATTGTTTTGACTACACACTTGCCTCAATCAAATTATTGCATTGTATATGTTCCAAGCTGCATTCTACGTATTCCAAAATTTCTATCTTTGGGTAATTATATTGTTTTGCCTACACACTCCCATCATTCAAATTATTGCATTGTATATGTTCCAAGCTGCATTCTACGTATTCCAAAATTTCTATCTTTGGGTAATTATATTGTTTTGCCTACACACTCCCATCATTCAAATTATTGCAATGTACATGTTCCAAGCTGCATTCTACGTGTTCCAAAATGTATATCTTTGGGTAATTGGTATTGTTTTGACTACACACTTGCCTCAATCAAATTATTGCATTGTATATGTTCCAAGCTGCATTCTACGTATTCCAAAATTTCTATTTTTGGGTAATTGTATTGTTTTGCCTACACACTCCCATCATTCAAATTATTGCATTGTACATGTTCCAAGCTGCATTCTACGTGTTCCAAAATTTCTATCTTTGGGTAATTGTATTGTTTTGACTACACACTTGCCTCAATCAAATTATTGCATTGTATATGTTCCAAGCTGCATTCTACGTATTCCAAAATTTCTATCTTTGGGTAATTATATTGTTTTGCCTACACACTCCCATCATTCAAATTATTGCATTGTACATGTTCCAAGCTGCATTCTACGCGTTCCAAAATGTCTATTTTTACGGGATAATATTGTTTTGCCTACACACTCCCATCAATCAAATTATTGCATTGTACATGTTCCAAGCTGCATTCTACGTGTTCCAAAATTTCTATCTTTGGGTAATTGTATTGTTTTGCTTACACACTCCATCATTAAAATTATTGCATTGTATATGTTCCAAGCTGCATTCTACGTATTCCAAAATTTCTATTTTTGGGTAATTGTATTGTTTTGCCTACACACTCCCATCATTCAAATTATTGCATTGTACATGTTCCAAGCTGCATTCTACGTGTTCCAAAATTTCTATCTTTGGGTAATTGTATTGTTTTGACTACACACTTGCCTCAATCAAATTATTGCATTGTATATGTTCCAAGCTGCATTCTACGTATTCCAAAATTTCTATCTTTGGGTAATTATATTGTTTTGCCTACACACTCCCATCATTCAAATTATTGCATTGTATATGTTCCAAGCTGCATTCTACGTATTCCAAAATTTCTATCTTTGGGTAATTATATTGTTTTGCCTACACACTCCCATCATTCAAATTATTGCAATGTACATGTTCCAAGCTGCATTCTACGTGTTCCAAAATGTATATCTTTGGGTAATTGGTATTGTTTTGACTACACACTTGCCTCAATCAAATTATTGCATTGTATATGTTCCAAGCTGCATTCTACGTATTCCAAAATTTCTATTTTTGGGTAATTGTATTGTTTTGCCTACACACTCCCATCATTCAAATTATTGCATTGTACATGTTCCAAGCTGCATTCTACGTGTTCCAAAATTTCTATCTTTGGGTAATTGTATTGTTTTGACTACACACTTGCCTCAATCAAATTATTGCATTGTATATGTTCCAAGCTGCATTCTACGTATTCCAAAATTTCTATCTTTGGGTAATTATATTGTTTTGCCTACACACTCCCATCATTCAAATTATTGCATTGTACATGTTCCAAGCTGCATTCTACGCGTTCCAAAATGTCTATTTTTACGGGATAATATTGTTTTGCCTACACACTCCCATCAATCAAATTATTGCATTGTACATGTTCCAAGCTGCATTCTACGTGTTCCAAAATTTCTATCTTTGGGTAATTGTATTGTTTTGCTTACACACTCCATCATTAAAATTATTGCATTGTATATGTTCCAAGCTGCATTCTACGTATTCCAAAATTTCTATTTTTGGGTAATTGTATTGTTTTGCCTACACACTCCCATCATTCAAATTATTGCATTGTACATGTTCCAAGCTGCATTCTACGTGTTCCAAAATTTCTATCTTTGGGTAATTGTATTGTTTTGACTACACACTTGCCTCAATCAAATTATTGCATTGTATATGTTCCAAGCTGCATTCTACGTATTCCAAAATTTCTATCTTTGGGTAATTATATTGTTTTGCCTACACACTCCCATCATTCAAATTATTGCAATGTACATGTTCCAAGCTGCATTCTACGTGTTCCAAAATGTATATCTTTATTGTTTTGCCTACACACTCCCATCATCCAAATTATTGCATTGTACATGTTCCAAGCTGCATTCTACGTATTCCAAAATGTTGAGTAATTGTATTGTTTTGCCTACACACTCCAATCATTTAAATTATTACATTGTTCATGTTCCAAGCTGCATTCTACGTATTCCAAAATGTTGAGTAATTGTATTGTTTTGCCTACACACTCCCATTATTCAAATTATTGCATTGTACATGTTCCAAGCTGCATTCTACGTGTTCCAAAATGTGTATCTTTAGGGGATAATATTGTTTAGCCTACACACTCCCATCATCCAAATTATTGCATTGTACATGTTCCAAGCTGCATTCTACGTGTTCCAAAATTTCTATCTTTGGGTAATTGTATTGTTTTGACTACACACTTGCCTCAATCAAATTATTGCATTGTATATGTTCCAAGCTGCATTCTACGTATTCCAAAATTTCTATTTTTGGGTAATTGTATTGTTTTGCCTACACACTCCCATCATTCAAATTATTGCATTGTACATGTTCCAAGCTGCATTCTACGTGTTCCAAAATTTCTATCTTTGGGTAATTGTATTGTTTTGACTACACACTTGCCTCAATCAAATTATTGCATTGTATATGTTCCCAGCTGCATTCTACGTATTCCAAAATTTCTATCTTTGGGTAATTATATTGTTTTGCCTACACACTCCCATCATT